AATGTTATTTCCGCGGTATTTACGGCTAGGTCAGAATGCTCAAAAAAATTATCTTCTCTTCGTACGATCGAAAACAAGTTTACCAAGTCAATTTGGTTTTCCTTTCAATTTTTGAAAATCTCATCTTGAAGAAAGATCGTTTTCCAAAACAAATATTTAAACAAACTAAAAGTGAAGTTATCTAAGAGGAAAAAATTCACGGAAGTACCACTTCCATTGATATTGTATGGTTAATAAAAATCATTTATTTTTATTGTAAATTTTCGATTAATATTTTTAATTGTTAATTCTTATTCACTCACCTGTTAGGCTCAGCCCTTGTACAAAGTCGGTTGTTTTGGGAGGAGGTAATTTATTTAGATCCTAAAGTCTAAGGATTTCTGGATCTGTTTAGTGCTAATATGCTACTGTTAATCGCAGCAAGTATGCGCAAATATGGTCAACATTGGCTGTAGATCTATTGGTGACGTTTCTGCTCCTTTCCTTACTTGGAGGTTGGCTTTGTTGTTACCTACTTATTTTAAGTTGATTCGCTTGAAATATGTTGGGCCTTTTCTTATTTTACTCATAAATGTCAACAGCAAAACCTGGCATAAGAGCAAATAAGATTTCTGCCTATAGCTGACCCGCTTCAAACAAACCTGTGATTAAAAATAACAGCCTGTAATAATTAAAGACCGTTACCGTCACCGCAGCAATATCGTGGATTGTTATTCGAATGTGTGTCACAATTTCCTGAAGCCGTTACATAAATCTTGCACGCTCTAATCCAGACTGACGGAGCGTCGGGCATTTAGATGTGCGAAATGCATGACGTATCCCGTTTTGCATGAGATGAATATTCACAGGTCATCGGAAAAGCTAAACGAAGATTGACTTCGAAGAAGTGTCGAGCTGGCGTTATATTGACCGAGAAGTCGAAACACCAAAAGCAGAGGCCGTTCGATGTTATTGAAGTTTAATATAAAGGACAAGTATTCTAAAGTATTCTAAAAAGTTGCGAGACAACGATATCAAAACCGTGCTTTGTCGCAAAACTTCTAGAAAGTTTGCTCTAGTAGTGTCCTCTGTCTCCCGAGGGACAGGGTAATATTGCTTTTCCTCGTATCTCTGAAAAATTTATCCCATGGTTGAGTTCCGAGATATGATATAACCTTTCGTTAATAAGTTATCTCGTCGAGGAGTTTTAAGAAGCGTAGGAACGCTGATTTATTGTCAAAACGATTTTTCTTTCTTCGACTATCATTAAATAAGGAAATTTAAATGTGTATTCAAAGGTTCCGGGTTGACTGACTGATATCGAAAACTATAACGAAAGTCTAATCGAAACGGCAATCGAAAATAGGAAATAGGAAGAACGCTAAGAAGTCGATGAACACTGGCAAAAAACATTAGAATAACTATTGACACCTTCAACACAAGATGATATGCCAGAAGTTCTCGTGGAAAATGCGCTCAAGGAAATGAAGAACGGCAAAGTAGCAGGAAAGTTCGGCATAATGATCGAACTCCTGAGATATGGAGGCAGACACACTTGGCAAATCCTGGCTAATATCTACACAAACTGCCTAAAGAACAGGAAGATTCCCCAAAATGGGAATAGTGCCAATATCATACTGATATATAAACAAGGCAGTAAAGAAGATAAGAAACTATCGACTAATAGTTCTACCACCGGTAATGTACAAAATATTCACGAAAAACATTAGCAATAGGATACAATATACGTTAGATGCTGCACAACCAACACAGCAGGCTGGATGCAGAAGTGGCAGTCGAGCAAAAGAATATGAACTGCCATTAACATTATCCTTCATTGACTTCGAGAAGGCATTCGACACGATATACAGCCATCATAGAAGCCCTTACGAATCATACATTGAAACTCTAGCCAATATATACAAGGAAGAGAAAGCTAGAGTAATGGTACACAAGGAATATCCGGAATTCCCAACTGGCCGAGGAGTACGACAAAGTGATGCCATATCTCCCAAACTCTTCTCGTCGACACTAGAAGAAATCTTCAGAAAACTAGACTAGAATAACAGAGGTCCACACATAGATGGAGAATATAGAGATATATTTCTGATCGTCCAATACTCCAGAAGAACTAGAACTACAGCTTAACGAGCTAAACATGGCAAGCAATGAAGTAGGTCTCAAAATGAACTTAACACAGAAGAAGGTAATGTAAAATGAAGTGATAGTTGCGCATGAAATAAAAAAAAAAAAAACAATACATCACTAGAGATAGTAGAGGAGTAAATATATCCGGGTCAGAGATCAGATCAGAGTAGAACTTCTTCAAGAAAAGAGTGTTTGACCAATGCGTGCTACCAGTCCTAACGTACGGAGGTGAAACCTGGACCTTAAAAACAGACATAATAAGAAAACTCGAAGTAACACATAGATCTACGAAGCAAAGCATGTTAGGAAAAACTATTATATTCTATTCTATTCTTTACTGAAATGGCGGCTTTCACTTTAATTATTATTTTGAATGACTATTAGACTTCTACAAGGCAATGTTGATCTTGATTATTTAGTTTAGTGACTTTGACCATGAGTTAAATTAGGCAGTGTTATTTAGTGAAGTTGTTATTTTTTTTACCTTTACGACGATCATTTGTGTTTTTGGTATATTCACAAGGTAGTAGAGAAAATATAATACAACTTTTATCTAAAAGTTTTTACCTAACCTTTTAAGTGTCAAAATTTTAATGAAAACTTAAAATGTTACTCCGCCAAATCTATGTATTCTATGGCCAAATAAACTAATTTAATCTGGTAGAGTCGGCGGAGAGTGGCGCGGCGCGGGGATAAATTAACATAAAACGCCCTCGTAAAAGTGCAATGAAAAAATTATATCCGTCTGGGGTCGTATAAATTTGATGCCGTGCGATAACGTATGCGCGGCGTAAAAGGTTGTAAAGCAGCAGGGGCCTTACGATTCAATTTTATGCAAATAAATGTTAAGGAGTCGTAAAATTAAGTAACGCCGTATTATCGAGTCGTAATACATTACTTGCGTGTCGCGGTTCTTCCTTGGGGAAGGGAAGTGCTACAGGAAACGCCACCCCATAAAACTTGGTAATGTGTCGAAAGAGTGCCTTGTATTATAGGTTAGTCCTTCCCACTCCGAAACACAGAATAAATGACATACAGAAGTTGCAAAAAGATTCGGTAAAAAATATCCGCACTCTTAATATTTTATTTGACATACGAGGTTAGCGCCAAAATTGCAGCTTCAGCATCACGATAAAACTTTGTCTTCTTTTAAATATATATCTTAGTAGGCTGTGAAAAAAAAATGAAGTCTTGGGTCAAATAGTTTTTTATTGACAGCATTTTAAACAAGACGTGTCCGAAAAAATGTCGCAAATAACGCAAATTGAGTATAGAGCAGTCATAAAGTTTTTGACAAAAGAAGGGTTAGCACCTAAAATTATTAAAGAAAGGCTGGATGGTGTGTACGGCCAAAGTTCTCCTTGATATTCTGTAGTGAAAGAATGGGCAAAACGTTTTCGAATGGGACAGGAGTCCCATGAGGATGGTTCAAGAACTGGTCGACTAGTGGAGGTCATAACGGAAGATATTGTTGCGATTGTGGAAGAGTGGTATTGAGTGATCGACGTTTAAAGGTCAACTCTCTCTTCAGTCGTTGTCCGTTTTCGGACGTCGTGACTCGTTCATGGATGTTGTGTAGTGACCCTTCGCCAAGCTTCTCTGTCCTCTACAGTACGCATCACTTGTGAGACCGACATTTGTGTGAGCTCCTTTATTTGATCTATATATCTCACTGGTGACCTTCCTCTTGCCCTTTTTCCATCAACCTTCCCCTGTATCATGAGTTTTTCCATACCGTCCTTTCGTATTACATGACCGAAGAATTTAAGCATACGTCGTTGTATTGTTGGTAATAATCTCTCATTTTCCCGTACTTTTAGTTCTCTTAAGATGGATGCGTTGGTGCGGTATGCTGTCCAGGGTATTCTCAGCATTCTTCGGTAGCATATCATTTCAAACGCCTCAATTCTTCTTCGAGATGCAGCATTTATGGTCCAGGATTCCGAGCCATACTCTGCAATGGGGAACACTAAAGATTTCACAAGTCTTGTTTTAGTTTCCTTGCGGTCAAGGAAACCTCAGAAATTACTAAGCTTTCTGATACAATTGTTCGTCGAATCCTGCACGATCATTTAGGTATTCATAAGTTAGTGCAAGATGGGTTCCTAAAAACCTTTCGACTACTCAAAAACAACGCCGTGTCCAGTGTGCGCGGTCTGTGGTTCTCTATTATGACCCTCTATCGAAAAAAGAATCAATGGAGTGGCGTCGTAAGGGTGAAGCACTTCCAAGAAAATTCAGAGTCTGCCAGTCAACAAAAAAGGTGATGGCCACGATCTTTTGGGATTGTGAAGGAATTTTTTTGATAGATTTTAAAGAAACTAATACCACTATCAATGGTAAATATTATGCAACATTATTACATAAATTGCGAGACTACATATCAGAGGCGTGCGTCTTTTGCACGATAATGCCCATGCTGCTGGTGTTGCTCCCTATAGTTCAGATATGGCCTCCAGCGACTATTATTTGTTTGGATATTTGCATTGCATTAATTGTCGGTCCAATGTGTGCTTGCCACACATTGAATCTCTTCAAACTTCCTTGCTAGTTAAATTCCATATACGAAAACGAAAAAAATAAGTAAGAATATTGATACAAAAACTAATTTCGACTTTCAGGGAATTTTTATGTTGCGTGAGATACGGATTTTTCTTAAGCTATCGCAAGAGGAAAGCACTAAGCAATGGTATCGACAAAGTTGTGTAATATACAACTTTTTCAGTCACTCGTATATTCAGCACTTACTCCCTTCATTCCATAACATTTTAGAGGTATTTTCCTGTCAAATCTAAACTCATCGAATTGTTGTATTGTTGTTAGTGTTATTATTTCCACATTGAGTCGTGATTTGTGTTCTTGGTTGGCTGCAGTTCCACCTGACATCCTGGACTACGCTACTAGTAATGACGTTATCGTTCACGAAGGATCAAACGTAAATCTGAGATGTATCGCCAAGGGGTCTCCCGAACCTTCTATCGCGTGGAAGCGAGAAACTGGAGAACTCATCAAACTATCCTCCGGGGAAGAAGGTATGTGCATCTACATGCGTTGAAAATATTTTGTGCTTTAGCAATAAGAGGTATTAACTCTAACTAGATTCAGAGACATTTTTAAAAAGTTTCACTGCTGATTTACTCGACAACGTAACCAAATCTTTTAACACTTTAACACTATTATATTTTTCCTGATAAAATATTTAATTAAATTTTAGTTAATCCCTTAATATTTCTAAACAGGATTTTGCACATCTTTTGGGTTGTTTTGAGGCTCGCGTAATACGCCTTTCCGTGACAACGCCACACAAAATAAAAGCATTAGCTTAATGAGACGCGTTGTTTTAGTTTAGTTTAATCCGGAGTGAGTTGCTTTGAAACGAGTTAGGAATTTTTAATTATATCACGCATTAGCCGATTTTTTTTCGTTTATAGCAGAAAAAGAGTTTATTTCGGTTAGTAACTTTGGAGCATGGTATTTACAAAACTTTTGGATTCCTCGTGCATCGGTAGTTGTTGAGTCGAACTTGCTAACCTTCCGCCAATCATCCTGTTGGCTTCTTCAGAGCTTTACTGAAACTGTTAAGCTCTGAAAAAGCCAACAGGATGATTGGCGAAATGTTAGGAAGTTTGACTCAACAACCATCGACGCTCAACTCCTAATTATTCCGTAGTCAGTTTGTAAACTGTTGATGAGTTCATTTGTCTTAAGGGTCTTTCATGTTCTTTGAACCTAGTTGATTCTTATATCTCAAATGGAATTTTGTCTATGACGGATCAAAGATGATTTTTGAATAAGTGGTAAAACTGATTTCGACGTTATATTTCTTAAGAACTTTTGATATGTGGTCAGTAATGTTTTGAATGTGGGATCGCTTTCGGACTCATTGCTATTAGAAGGTTATGGCGAAGTGTATTTTTTGATGGAACGAATTTGTAATCTGTAAAAAGTATTGGTCTGTAAACACAATGACCTACTGTTAGGTCTAATTTTCTGTTGATAATTGAATATTATCAGTTTCTAATTCAATGGTAAAACGTATGTTAGGGTGTATAGAGTTTAAATGTCTAAGAAAATCTACTAGAGAGTCTTGACCATGAGGTCAAAACAAAAATTTTGGTTCTAGATGGAAGGTGTTGACAGCTTCCTTCTCAAAGGCTTCCATATTCGCGATGACTGGTGATAATGGAAAACCCATAGTTGTTCCCGGGGTTTGTTCAAAAATTTAACAGCTATAAGAAAATTATTTTCCAGACAAGCATTAATTAATTAATTAAGGTCAGAAGGTTTGGTTCCTGAATCTCGGATTTTAATATATCTGAAATGACTTTAATAAATAGGGATTCTGCTTCGAAATTAACCAGAATATCCTGATTATTATTAAGAAAAAGAATTAAGTAGGAAAGTATCAGTTTTTTCTGTAAAAGGTTTAAAATAGAAGCTAGATATTTTGTTCGGGAATATGTTGGAGAATCCTGACAATAGGTCGAAGGGATAATTCTGGATTGTGAATCTTAGAGAGTCCGCAGAGACAAGGAGTTTTAGAGTCATGAGGGGTGACAGACTTTTTCACAGAGAAACCTTAATAATAGAATTAATAACAGAATTAATAACAGAATTAAGGTTGCGTTCCATAGATGACGTAGGATCTTTTTAAGTTGACTATATGATCCATCTGTAAGAACATCTTGAATCTCTTCCTGATCTTCATTTGTGTTCATCACCACATCACTACATTTCCTTTATTTGCTTTTAGGATTACAATGTTAGATTTTAGAGAATTTAGAGGAATGCGTTCAGGCTTTGGAATACTAGATTTAGGAGGTTTTCATTTTTTAAGAATTTTTTCGGTTTTAATTCGAATTTCGTTATCTGGTTAAGATGGCAGGAGGAATCCAGAAGTTTTGTAAATAGTATTACAGTAATCTTTGGAAGTTACTTTAAAGAGAATATTAAAGTGTTACTTATTAATGGTGGTTTGCATTAAATGATTATAACTATTATTAGTCTCTCAGGACAGTACACAAAAAAACAGACATCCTCTATTTCACTCGCTAACTTCTCAAATCAAAATACGCTTCAGTCAGTTGGAATTATTCCTGAGTTTGTTCTCAAGCCATTGCAAAAAAAGAAAGAGCTGACACCCCTTTCAGTTTTCGCCCGTACGTTACACGGTCTTCGTTCTCGTTTGCGTCTCTTTCATTAAACTAATGCCCCCCCGTTCTTGTTTCAGTCGCGAGCGCCGAAGGAACGATGCTAAACCTGACGCGGGTGAGCAGACAGCAAATGGGCCCCTATCTGTGCATAGCCTCAAACGGCGTCCCACCCTCCGTCAGTAAGCGCATTATGCTGATCGTGCACTGTAAGTACGGGATATATTTTACTATTTTAACAGTTCGACGACTAGGCAAAAGCTCCGTTAACGAAACAGGGTACAGTTTTATTTGATTTCCGGTCGTTTATCTCCTTAATGTGGGAAACGGGAACATTATTTCATGCTCCTAGCAATTTTAAAAGCTAAAAATGTCGTTTCGGCTATAATGGATCTACTTTGTGATTGTGGTACTGATATTACTTATTAATAAATTTGGCCGTTTAAGCACTTATTGCTGTTAAAATCAAAAATAAAAATATGTCAAGTATCAAAGAAAAATCTGACAAATTCTAAATTAGAAGCCAAAATAAAAACTAAGCTATTATCTTGATTCGGGTTTAAAGGCCGTCGTCGATTGGAATTACTTCCTAACGTTTCGCTAGCACGAGTGGCGAGCTTCTTCAGAGGTCCTTCCATCTCCGATGTTGGACGTAGACAGTCTACGTCGGCCTTTAAACCCGAATCAAGATAACAGCTTATCAACGGGCCGCGAAAGCCTTAACCAATTTATCAAAATCAAAACTTTACGGACATTCAGGTACCATATTATAGGGGAGAAAAAAATATACATTTAACGAGAATGATTCGCAACAAAAGGATATCGTTAACATGCAACATTTTAGTACCAACTCCTAGCTAACCAAAATTGTGTAGTTCTAGTTTGGTCAGTAAGTTTTTCAAGCACCTATATAGAGGAAGAAAAATGCAGATTAAATTTTTCAATAAAGGAATTTGAAATTATGAATGAAAGGAGTTGCCGTTTGCCAAGGCTCATTGAAATTTCAAGCATAAACATTTATAAGTATTCCGAGAACCAGACCACTAATTAATATTAGATACTAAGTTGACTTTATATTTGCATATATCCTGGGCGGTATGAATTCAAATCACACATCTATTACCTACATTGGCAAACACCGATACGACTCGGGACTTATTTGCATTGCCCGATTCGGTATACGATATTCCAAATTGCGTTTTAATAATTAATTTTTCTAATTATTGAAACACCGAGTTTATATAAATAAACCGTTTCGAATAATTCGTTCTATACGCTCGCGCGCAAACTAAGTGACAATGCGCTTGATTAATATTTAATTGTGCGGCCATTTATTTATATTATTCCGCTATTGGTAAATGAAAATTTTGATTTTCGGGGACTATTTAAATAAATACAGGTCTCCTGTGTGTATAAATAGAGCCGTTAACTAAAATGTATTTGTTACTTTCGGCCGTCCATTGATTGATATGTTCCGTGACGCGGGAAAGCTGGAACTACGCGATGTTCTCTTATACTTTAACCGGCACAGAGTTTATTCTGCATTAAGTAGACAATTTGATTACGCATTGATGCTGGAGGGTATTTTCGAATAAGTAGAAGCGTTAATTTTAACATGAGGTCATATGTATCGTATATATTACGGAGGTATTTGAATGTGATCCTTCCAGTAAGTACGTATTTATGTATTGATTCTCGAACTTTGACCCTGTACGGCTGTTTTCATTGGATAGTTCAAAGGGTAAGGGAAAATACCTGTACTTTATTTATCTTACAGGTAAGTTTGAAAATAATCATTTTTGTCTTGTGTGCCTGTCGAATAACAACATTTTTCGTCTTGTATTTTTGTGTTTTCTTCATTTTTCTTCGATTTGTAAACAACAGTCTTTTTTAAGATTATAGATTATATCAAGAAAATGGACATGAAATATTGAGATTACCACCGTATCATGGTAGATTTAACCCGATTGAGATGATTTGGTCTGAGTTGAAAGCGCATATATGAAGAAATACTACACCAAAATGTAGTGATACTACCATAAACGTAATTCGGCAAGAGGTAGCTAAAACATCAATACAAAGCTGGTCTAATTGCGAAAAACGAGTAATAAAAGAAGAAAATATTTATCGATAACGATTAGTGGATGAGGTGGTCATTGAACTAGGTGACGACAGTAGCCATAGTGGCCATTTTTAAGTGATTGCTTCAAGAATTGCTTGGCGAAAAAGATTGAAAACATACTTATATCCCGCTTGTTAGTGCAAATAGATAAATTCCTAGGACGATCTTGGAACGGTTACAGGTAAGGATCTGCTCGGCAGTGTGTTCTATAAGAGGCTGCTGTTTTGGAGTAATAAACAGTAGACAAAGTTAATCACGGCACGGGTTGCAAAAACAAAATACTTCTGGTCATGGTATACCCGCTCATTAAGGGCAACGAGATGGCTGACAGGCCCAGCATTGAGGACTAAGGGATTCTAATTTTCGACCAAAAGTGGTCCTGAGTTTCAGTTTCTCGCGACAACGAATGCTGGTAGAAATCCTAACAGGACACTGCCATCTGCATGTGTATGGAAGAGGAGAAAACTCCAGTTCATCTTCTAACCAGCAGCGCACACGGTTAAAAGTACTAGGAGCTCAATTTATTGCATGCGAACGAGCCACTTAACTTAAATGAAGCGGAGCGAAGATGTGCGGACATAATGGATCAGAAGGTCCCAAAGTAGTGACCTGGAATTTCTCGTAAATTAACAATGTAGTGCCCGGAACCTCCTTCTATATACTACTTGCCTCGATCGAACCATATTCGGCGAAGTCGATTCTTGCTCGAGATGAGAAGAGAGAGATGAGTTATGAGAAACAAACACTGGTGATTCGTCGGGGAAGCACTCGAGATTAACAAGTTTTGATTTTAACGCTCCGGTCTGATTAAAACAATCTAAAATATTGCTTTTGCGTCAAAGTAATCGCTTTGTTTGACGGCAAACACGTAGGGGTGACGCGCCACGCTGTTTATTTAACCGTGTCTATTCAATGCGGGGGAAGCGTTCGGGGTTCGTGCCACACCGACAGGAATTATATTTTCGCGTTGTTGTTCACGGTTCACGCAGGCGAGTTTACAAAGCGCGCGCTGTTTGCCGAAACACCTAAAGGGTCGGATTGTTTGATCTCGCAGCGGCGGATGAGCTGCACTGTCCCGGGGGGTTGAAGCGATGATGATGCTGGGTTGTTAAGTTGACGTTAATTGATACGAGTTATTTTTTTGCCAACTTGTTTCCTGTTGTCACCAAAAATATTGCATAGTAGTACAGTGGTCCTAAATTGTTAATTATTTTCACCAAACTAAACCAAATTTGCCGATGAAAAAACAATACCAAATTCGACTAACCAACTAACCAAACTAACCGAATTCGGTACCCTAAATAATTGTAATTGAAGCCTGATATTTTTTAAAATTTATTACACCAGATTTGAACATTTTTGATTTAATTAACTTTTATGTATTTTATGCCCTTTAAATATGTGCATGTATGAAAATTATTTTCAAGTTCCTGAATGTTCAGCTTGATTTTTACAACCCGGTTTCTGCAAAATCAGCCATTGTGCGTAACGTTTTAGAGCAAAGACAAATTCAAATCTTTTTTATCTTTGCTCTATATCTAAAAATAAGGTGACTTAAAAGGGATGGCATTTTCTGACATAGCGAAAAATATATATACTTTTGGAAAATAAGTGCTACGATATGAAGCCATTACGAACCAAGGAAGAACCTAACCACCCAGTGAAAACAGCATTTCATCATCTTAACCTATAAAATAACAAGTTGAATTATTATAAGTCATCCTTAATTTATTAACTGAATTAATTTATTATTGATTATGTGAAATAAAATTTTAAATCGGAATAAAATTTCTTTTATCTTTAACACTTTTCTTTCAATACCCCGCAAGGGTACAAAATTGCCCAACTAGATTTTGATATCCTTACCCGTTTTAAATTATTTATATTTAAAATAAAGTTTAAATAAAAAATATTCAAAACTGTCTAAGCTCTTATTATGGTTTTAAAAACACTCGAAAATAATTTCCAGCATTTTCTCTTTTTCGATTTAAAACGATAAATTCAATTCTTACTACTAAACTATAAAAATGGCAGTAATACCTGAAAAAGAAATATATTAATGTTAATTCATATTATAAAAATTTAAATTGATGGTAATTACTTGTAATATCCTATTTATTATGATTCAACAGAAAATAGTCTTTTGTTATGGCGGGGTTTAATTTAAATTTTGTTTAAAATGCTTAAATGTATATTGTTTATGTTGTTTCGTAAAATTTTTGTTATGATTTTTACCCAAGTTTTGATCCACTTTTCGAAGCGCATTATTACGTTGTTTCCCGTATTTCTAGACAGCAATAATTTATAATTATTTTAAAAAATGTTTGCTTTTAGTTTCATTTTCAGTTGTTTCTTATTTTTTTTTTGTATTGCTCAATTCTTTTCACTTGTTTCAATAACTAAAGAGCTTTCATTTTATTCTCATATATTTGTTAGGTTTGACATGAAGTCACCATGTTATCCTCCCTGACATAGCAAAAATATATATATGTTCTGAAAATAACTGCAACGATGCGCCTTTTTTGAAGCCATTACGAGCCAAGTTTTAACCACGTTCTAAAATTCGCACAAATAGGTTTTCCTTATTCTACAGAATCGAAATCAAATAAATTCCGAAATTAAGCTCAGAATAATTTTCTAAAAAGCGATCTGTTAACCACTGTGTAGATGAGAGACGCAAAATTGGTAACTATGTCTTCTTGTTATTTAGTCTAGTGCTTCTAGTTTACATCGTTTAAAGACAACAGCTTACGCAATTGCTTGTTGTTGCTGCTTTTAAACGATTTTATCTCTCGTCCCGCTAGAGGTCGTTGAAATATTAAGAGCGGTTTTTTATTTATTTTCGTTATCTTCGCTTTTTGGCAATAATTGGCTGCCATTTTAACTCTGAAACCGTTCTTTAGTAGAAAAGGAAATTAAAACGCTCCTCATTTTTGGCGTCCACTCTTTCAAAGGACGGTTTCGCGCTGCGCCTGTCCCCATCCCATCTTCCCTTCCCTTATCAGCGAGCCACTGTATGGGAATTTATTGCAAATTACGTTCCGATTGTACAACGGCCGACCCTTTCTCTACGACTTTGCGCACCCAAACCATCTGGCCGGGACAGCGTGAATCGGGCAAACATTTTAATTGATTCCTTTTCTTTTCCAGTTCCCCCGATGATATGGATCCAGAATCAACTAGTGGGAGCTTACGAGGGCCAACAAATTACTCTCGAATGTCATTCGGAGGCTTTCCCGAAATCCATTAACTATTGGACCCGGGAGACTGGAGAAATCCTCTCGCAAAGTAAGTTGTAGAGTTTCAGATTTTCTTTTTGCTAACGGAGTCGATCATTTAATTAGCCGGGTTACCGGACCACATATTAGAACGTAATTAAATGGAAGAATGTTCATTTTCGAGAGTCGCGTGGGCCCTGTCTCATAAGAATCCGTTTTTTGTCCGTTTCATTACCTCTTTTGTTTCGAAAGTCGCTTTATTTCGCTATTTATCATACGCGAAGAAGAAAAGCCGAATAGTATTTTTGTATTAGGTTTAAAGTGACGCATAGTGACTAAAACTGACCAATGTTGCCGTAAGTTATTCAAAGATCGTCAACATATTATTTCGACTCATTCTTCAAAACAACAAATGCAAAAGATTCGAATTAGCTCAAAAGATTCGTATGTCAACCTGTACCAAATATATGGGCCACAGAACAAACTTTCATGTATTTTTTTTAACTACAGAGTAATATAATCTCTATTTGCTTGTTCTATGGTAATTAATCTAATACGATCATATTAGCTCTAGTTTTGCAGATTCGAAATGGTCCCAAATACACAAATACACATATTTATCAGAATATTCTGGCGTCCACCACTCTATTTTTATCAAACCCCTAAAGTCTTTAATGTGCTTCCAGTCGACGTTAAAGCTCCAGTTTAAAACCGTTTTTTTGTTATTATTTTTTTGTTTGGTTCTTTGTTTTTTTTCTCTTTTCAATATAGGAGGTTGTACAGGGTGCGGCAGCATAACTTCCTTTTTTTAAATGCGCGCCATTCAGTTAGTTGATGTCATAGTGGGGCGCTAGTGGTCTCGTTCAAGAGGGGGTACTGTAAAGTTTTGTCCCGACACGGTTCAGTCGCCATCATGCGTTGGAATAGTGAGGAGCGTGCCTTTGCCGTTGAGGCCTACTTTTCAAGCGGTTGTTCGGTTGTTGCAACACAGCGTGCATTTCGGAATCGCTTTAATTTAGCCCCGTTGGCTCCCGTCCCAGACCGCAAATCAATTGTTACATGGGTCACTACATTCAGACAAACTGCAAGTGCGACAAAACGAAGAACTGGAGTCCCTCGGCCCGTTAGATCACCTGAGAACATTGAAGCAGTGAGAGCTTCAATGTTGCGATCACCACGGCGTTCTGCGCGCAAACACGCATCTGCCCTTGGACTATCCGATCGTTCTGTGAGAAGAATTCTTCGTGATGATCTTCATTTTCATCCCTATAAGATGGCGATAGTGCAGGAACTTACAGAACGTGACTTCAATTCTCGGATGAACGCGTGTGAGCTTCTTCTTGATGTCGTTCCCGAGGGTGCTATTGTTTTTTTTAGCGATGAAGCCCATTTTCATTTATGTGTGTCGGTTAACAAACAAAACATGCGCTACTGGGCTGACACCAACCCTCGACAATTGCATCAAAGGCCTTTGCATTCACCCAAAGTCACAGTGTGGTGTGCAATTTCCTCAGCTGGAATTATTGGTCCCTGGTTTTTTGAGGAAAATGAGGTTACAGTGACAGTGAATTCGGACCGGTATGTAAATATGCTACAGAATTTTTTTTTCCCACGGCTAGAAGAGTTGGATTTGGGGGACACTTGGTTCCAACAAGACGGTGCAACAGCACACACTTCAAGAGCATCGATGGCTGTTTTGAGGGAACACTTTCCAGAGCGCCTTATCTCAATTAGAGGCGATTTGGAATGGCCGGCACGCTCTCCCGATCTGTCCCCTTGTGATTTTTTTCTATGGGGTTTTTTGAAATCCCTGGTTTATGTGAACCGTCCAAGAACCCTACAAGATTTGAAGACCAACATCGAAGAAGAAATTGCCAACATAACACCAGCTATGCTAACAAGAGTCATGACAAACGCCAGATATCGGTTTACGCAATGTATGGAGAATGAGGGACGTCACCTAACAGATTTGATCTTCAAAACAATGTAAATAAAAACTTTAGACATGTACCTACATTATAAAAAATAAATAAAGATTTTCCGATGCACACAATAGTTTTTATTGAGTTTTGAAAAAAGGAAGTTATGCTGCCGCACCCTGTATTTTGAATACCGTCAATCTTTCTAATTCTTTTTGTTATTGGACATGTACATAAACGTATACATACATGAACTGAATAAAGACTTGATAAACAGCGAACACAAACAACACTCCCTAAATAGACAACACAACATAATAAAGACAGGAAATCCCCATACTTGCTTCAAAAATATACGGTTGATATCAGAAATGTTCAGAGACTCATTGTTTACCTTTCTCGAACTGTTTCTCCAAAAACCATTTAGCTATGTGTACATACGAGGTGTGTTCAAAAAGTAAGGTGACTTTTGTAATTGGGCGGGCTACGTACATTCAATCTTCCATATTTTTTTGTTATGTTAACGGTCTCAGCCAGTTTGCACGTTTACTTTTTTTGTTTGATGCTAACAAAAACTAACCAAAAAAATGGAAAAAAGAATTTGCATATAATTTTTTAGTAAAAAATTGAAAACAGTGCTGCAAAACAACAATGTTGACAACGGTGAGATGGTGAGCAAAAGAAATGTTTATAAGTGATTTAAGCTGGTCCAAGAAGGCCGATGAACCTTGCTCTGGGTGCATAGAACGTCATTAACTGATAAAAGCGTTGAAGAAGTGAAACAAATGGTGTTGAAAAATCGTTCAATCGCTATTAGAGAATTGGCTGAAGACGTCGGCATCTCTATTGACCCGTGCTATCGATTTTTTTCCGCAGTTTTGGGCATGAAACGTGTAGCAGCAAAATTTGTTCCGAAACTGCTTAATTTTGAACAAAAAGAGCGTCTAAGGAGCTTCGCTCAAGACCTATTAAACGACGTCAATGATGATCCTGATATGCTCAAAAAGGTCACAACTGATGATTAATCATGGATATATAGATATGAGTTCGAACCCAAAGCGCGGTTGTCCCAATGGAAGAACCCAGAATCCCCAAGATCGGAAAAAGCACGTCAAGTTCGATCAAATGTCAAGGTTTTGCTTACTATTTTCTTTGTGGTATGGTCAATAAAGAATTTAAACCTTAAAGTTATGCGCTGTTTGCGAGAAGCAATACGAAGAAAACATCCGGAATTGTGGGAAAACGATTCATCGATATTGCATCATGATAATGCATCTGCTCACTCATTGCTTGTGTCTAACTTTTTGGCCCCCTGCGACTTTTTCCTGTTCCAAAAAGTCAAGAAAACCATGAAAGGAAGGAGGTTTGAAACGATTGGGGAGATAAAGAAATAATCGCTGGAAGAAGAGCTCAAAACCATACCAGGAGGATTGGAAAAAACGTTGGGACAAGTATATTATATCTTGGGGGGGGGGGTGTACTTTAAAGGGAACAACATTAATTTTAATAAATAAATAAATACTTTTTGATAAAACTTAATTTATGATATGGTCTTCCAGCCAAGAGTTCAGAAACTTTTCCATATCAACGTAAAAAAAGCTAAATATATGCTGCAACAAAAACGCAACAATTTAGAGTCTCAGTAAAAAGCAGACATTTGATATTAAAAATAAATATAACAATGACTTCGATTTAGTTCTTATTATTTTTAATGAAACTAATCTACCGAGAATGTATTTCTCATTGATTAATTATATTGTGCAATATTGTTGCAGCGATTTTCACATTCAGCATTTGGTTTGTGACATTGTGTGTGATGTTGTGACAAAACGATTTTCCTTTAATCGCACTGAGTAAAAGAAAAAGAGTTAAATATTTTCTTAAATTAATTCTGTTAAAAGAACATAGTTTCAATTTTTTCAATTTAAGAATATTGTACGTTTTTACATTGATGCTTCATTTTATTTCAGTTGTCTCTATAATCTACAATCTCCCCAAATACAATAAAAAAATTGAAGACAAAGAAAATTGTTCGAAAATGCAGAAACGTCTAAAAAAATCAATCAATTTTTTATTGCCTATAGTCGTGCACGCGGGTCGTGCTAACTTTGTCAGTCGCAACATTTCAACGTGCACCCAAAACCTCGCGTAATCGCAATTAAATCTTTCGTCAGAATTTAGCACGATTGCGGCTCGCGTGTTTAAACCCGTTGCAAATAAATCCCGATAAATCCCGCGGCGTTATAAAACGAGTTGATCCCTACCCGTCTAAATCTCGCCACGTTGGTTTACGACGGTGCCGGACACCAGTTTGTAAGCCAATTACATTGACAATTTGAGAGCGTGTCGTAAAAACTTTGTCGGCGACCAATTAAAATGTAACTATTCGCTTTTATGCGGTTTTAGGGACGTTTCTTTTCCTTCGGCGCCATTTGCGCCAAGATTCGACCGATTTGGCAACGTCGAATTGCGTTTGAAATGATCAGCGCGGCGTTCAGTGGCGACGCTTGCGGGGTGTTTGTTTCTCTTGCACTTAAAAATAAAAAGATACTATTTCTTATTTTCATTTTAGAAACATGTATACATGTATTTAGAGTAATTAAAAAAACGCACTAATTTCTTAAATTAGTGTGTAGTAAAGTAAGGCCACGGCTATTCTAATATATCTAAATATTACCAATGTTTTTGATAATTTTTTTGTGTAATAGAGTTTTATGCCAAATAACAAAACAAAATGTAAAATTTTCACTTAGCGCGCAAACAATTCCAAAATTTTCAAAATCGAGCGAACAATTTCAAATGACATAAAAAACGAGTCAATATCGCATTCAAGGTAATGGATGTCGTTTTGATATTTTTTTTTTGTGTAGTTCTTTCAAAGTTATTTTGAATATACGAGATTTTGTAAGCCCTGGACCATACTTAAAATTTGAATCCAGGTTTAATTATACTGAACTGTACTTAAAATCTGTGATTTATTAAGTTTGCATTGCAAATTAACTAGACTTAGCACCGATTTAAATAAAATGCACCATTTGTCGTTAGGTGATGGCTACAGTAATACTGAATACACACTTTATTTTTGGGGCAACGGTAACGGCCATATAATCCATCGATATTCCATGCACAGACAACAGCACGCGCAAAATTTAAAGTACATCGCTACACATTTTTAAAATAATCAATCATTTCAAAACTTACCAATATGGCTGTAAGTACAAGTACAGTTGATTTTTCTTAAGAAAATTATTAGTCTTGCATTATAGGGAGAACCTTTTGACTACTTATTGCAGCAGTTGTCAATTCTGGAGTTTTTAAATTAGTTGAGATGTTTGGAGTGTGCGCAATAGGGAACTTGATTTTTCTTATCTCTAATAATACATTTGTTTATGGATAAAAATAACGCATATCAAATATTAAAACCCAATATATAAGTTGCAGTAAATAATTGAAGTTGTGACACTCGGCTATTCTTTTTAAACAATACCAAACGCACGAGAATGATCGTGACGTCATTCCGCTGCTTTTCGATCAATACGGCGACATGTTATAGTGCTATTCTCAGGTTATAGGCCGAGAATTACATTATTTACCTTTATTTTTGGTTCGTATAAAGTTGTGTTTGTATTTAATCTACGGTAGTTTGTATTTGTGCTTAGTGCTTAGTAATTTATTAATACCTTAAAATCAGTATTTAGGTTTCCACTGGTTTAAAAAAATCTTCTTTTTTTTTTGCTGAATAATTGAAATTTTATTTGATATACCATTTGAATTTTAAAAATCTAGAAAACTTTAAGCTGATTATACTATTATATTGATTTAAAACTCATGGCTAGATTTTCTCTGGACATACTTTTTAGTTTTAACACCGCGAACCTCAACAAAAAAAACCTTTTAAAAAATCGGCTTCGGTAATTTTCAAAACTTTCTGTTTGCTACTAAACACAAGATAATAAATGCAAGCATCACGATCAAGACTAAAATTAAAAGTAAAACCACCAAGACGAACGCGTTGTGGTTCTCTAATGGCTACCATCCGGCTGGCGCGTAGTCTAACGAGTCAATTGACGTCACAACGGCTCACAGCCAATGACATCGCGTTTCAAAAAGGATTTAAATTTTACAATGTTTAATTGTTTAATTGCTTATATATAAACTTACTTTTATAAGCAATATTTTTCATATTAACATTTTGTTCAAAGTCCCGATCGATCGATCTAGCTTGAAGCAACTAGTTTGTTGTTCCCTCATCTACTGTCAAGTCAGCTTAAGGATGACCTTCCACTAAATTTTTTGCACATGCGCATGATAAAACATCTGTGTTTTGAATTTATATTATTTTAACTACTTTCTAAGCCAAAGTACAAGAATGAACCACGATTTTCAAAAAAAGTGGATTTCTCAGATTAATATAATCCGAAAGATTTTAGAGAGAAATTGCGCCCCAGTTTTATAAAACTGAATAATGGACGAATGAGGAAATTCTTCTTAAACTATACAAATAAGTTTATGTGAATAGACACTAAATTAAATACAACCTAATACATGGTTCGGCATAATGCAAATGTGTATATTTCTCAACTTTTTGACTCCTTGATTGTTTAAGATTAAGTTAGCTGCATATCAAGATTAGCCGTTTGCCAAAAAAACGTTTCGGATTTCTTTCAAACTTATATTCACACAAGGAAGGTTTGAACATTGAATGAAACAAGTTTGTCATTTCGTGCGCAAAACAAATCATCCTTCTAATGTTGAGACTACGTAATTCGGAAGATGATAAAAAAATCCAATTTGTTTCTTTTTAGACGGGAAATTCGAAGCGACTTACCAAACCAGCAGCTATAAAATTCAGACGAGCTTATTAATACGTAAAGTGGAGCAGTCCGACTACGGGAATTACAGGTGTGTGGCGAAAAATTCGCTGGGCGAGACTGACGGGACCATTCAGCTGTTCGGTAAGTAGATTAAATGAATAATTCATCTGACTTCTTCCCGCGGTTTTTGTTCTTGCCGAGATTACCGTTATTCTTGATCAATACTTGATGGAAACAATACCTCGAAAAGTCCCGAGTGAAATGTCGGTTGACGAGAGAGCGAATCCCCCGATAAAGTTCATTAAACGTCTCAAAAGTTGGAGATCGCGCGAGATCTGGATAATTTAAAAGGAAAATTAGTGTTAACGACCAATAGTTATCGAGCTAATTTAATTTTTCATGCGTCATCCGCTTAATATTTCATATTTGCCGCGGGTTTTAATATTTTCGCTCGGTTTCGATTTTGCGTTAACATAAAAAATTCAAAGAGCGCTTTTTTTGCGGATACATAAAAGACGAATCCGCTTTGACCGACCGAGCGGACTTTATGTATGGCGCCAAAGGGCTTCCTACTGTGACTTTATGGGACTTATATTGCATTTAATTACGCCTCCGCATTTTGTGCCCTCGGAATGGGAAATTGTGACGAAAATATGTCGCCGAAAGGCTAGTTTTTTTAATTATAATTTTGTGAAATGAGTTGTTGTAAAATCAACTTTTTAAAGCTGTCAAGATATCCCATTTTCGAGTTTACATTTCAACTTGTTTTATACTGCAAGTTTGCTCGACATAAAAATAAACCTTTCCCTGCACGATTCTCCTCTATAGCATTATGTAAAGAGCACAAGATGCTGCGACAGAAGAAAAACCGCTGCTTCAAAAACGGAATAAGGAATTTGAAAACTTTATTTTTAACTTAATAACGTTACCGAATGTCCCTACTTAGGAATAGGAAAAATTCTGAGCTTTTCCCAGGATTTCGCCTTTAAAAAGGGATTGAATCCGGAATAAGCCTCTTACATATTTAACAATATTTCTTATTCCGGCAAGACATTGGCGTGCGACGCGAATTGTCATTTTATTATTTGTTTTATCTAGATGCCTCAACTAGTTGTTGTTTTTTTGGTTTCAGCTGTCCCAAAGCCTTCAGAGCTGTCCAATAGCATATCAAAAGGTAATTCATTCTTTTTTTTTGTGCCACGAGCATCAATCTCAAATCCTTGTAATTTGCCCTGTTAAGACAGTAAGGAAAAAGTGATATATACGATTATTGAGATTAAAAATTAAAACGAATTGTTTAATTAACCTTTCTTGAAACACACTTTTTGAAGATGATATAAAATAGATAGCTAATTGTAACCACGATAAATCTTTGATATATATTAATTGACTTGTGAAGTATATTTTAAAATGCTGTCCATATTAAATAATCGCAATAAGCAAGCCGACTTTGCTTCTGAAAAGTATTCAGTAGAGTTAGCGTTAATACACCAGTGACGTCATATCACGTTTGTGTTTATAGTTGCCATAAGTCTAAAGGATCGTTTTTAGATCACTACATTGAAAATAAATATAAGAGGCGGCGTTAAAATGAGCTAGCTTCAAATAAAGTCTATTCATATATTTCACATTTCCGATTCCAGTCTCAACAAATTCATTAAGCACAGTCTTTTTCACGTGACGTTTTCTTTTTGTAGACTTGATATTAAACGTATCGGATACCCATTATGATATTGGAAACAGTCGTGTCTGTCATAGAACTTAATTAAAAAAATGGTCTTTCGTTATTTCTTTCATTGGCAAAATGTTGAGTTAAGGACGGAACAAATTGTTGATCGCAAAATTCCAAATGTGTAGGTCTTTCTTAGCCATAAACAGAGAAAACGTTTGATTTTATAATTATTCTAATTCAAAATTCAGTATTTGCAGAATATTGAAATTTGGCAATATCATTTTTGGACCTCTTCTAAAGGGCTAATTTTGCTTGAATTCTTTAAATGAACTTCTGAGTCATCCAGAGCGGATTTCTAATGAATAACGTTTTCGGGAAATACAATCTTATACCTCTTAAGTTGTCTTCGTATCTTCTTAAGTTGCCTTTGTATCTTAACTCGTTTTCAAAAGGAAAAATTGTGGAAATTTACAAAGCGTATTTTTATTCATTTTTTGGACCTTTTGGTTCACAATAAACCTAGTTCTAAAAATCAAGAAGCATTTCGTGATCCTATATATATTTTGTTTTATGACGAACCGCATGTTTATTGGTACACCCTGTATACAGGCGTATTTAATAAGTATTCAATATTTTATGGAATGATTAAGTTATTTTAAAATAAAAAGTTACTGTAATCTTGTGGTCTAAAATGCTTAGCTTCTGAGAGGCATCAAAGTTTTTTTTTTGTTTTTTTTTCAGCAATATGAAGAAAATTTGTTTTTCATGAGAAATTTGATTAATTTTTTAATTTAGTTCTAAGTTGTAGGAGCCACCTAGATGTCTTCTCTAACTTTCTTATTAGAATTGTTACACCTTTTCCAGAACTCTTGTTCCTAATCTGAAAGACTTCAAATAAGAGTACCTGTTTCACGTCAAAATGGTTGAGGAATTCTTTTTTTTTTTCAAAGAAACGTTCACAAGCCACTGCAGTACTATTCGCCAATCATCCTGCTCACGTCTTCAGAACTTAAGAGCTGTTTCAGTTAAGTTCTCGTTGAATTCATCAATAATCGACTCAGGAAGAATCCAGAAGATTTTTAAGTAGTAATTCATTTTTTTACCAGAAATTTAATATAGGAGTGTTTTTAAAGTGAGGAAATACATATAGGTTGCGCCTCTTATAAGCAAGAGGTAAATTAAGAAAAAAATAAAATTTTGCATATTTTATGGAGCAGGAAGTGTGTCTATTTCACCTGTTTGCTTGTGTTTTCTGATCGGAAAGAGCTCTCAGTTTTGACCGAATCAAATAATTTCTTTTCTTTTCTCACTAGCCACTCAGTCATTAGTATTCCTTCCTCTTTTGGTTCTTATTATTTGTTTTAACGCATTTTTTCAATTAGTAATGTAAACATTCATTCGGCAATAAAAGGCTTTATTATTATTAAAAATTCCCCAGGTATTAATTTGCGTTCGTAAATTGGCATTATTTAGGCATGCAGGACAAATAAAAATAAATCTTTGATACTCTGTGTCTTGAAACTACTACTACCTTTTTACCTAAAAAATACTCGAGAAAATCAGTCCGGTACTTGCAATTTTGATAAGAAATGCCAACAAGGCAAATAGTTAATATGTAGCAATTATAAAGTTCGTCGAACGTTATACCGTTTTCACGACATAATCGGGTACTCAACTTTGGTAAATTTTTGTGAAGGTCTAACCTCAGACCAACCTCGCTTGTGTTTCTCTTTATAACCCTCAATAAATACATTCGCAGTTCCACAATGATGTTTCAGAACCGTAGTTCGGTACTTTGTGTATACAAATTGGTGAGTTAACTCGATTATACTTATACTCCATAATTACTTCTGTAAAGATTTTCTTCTTAGGTGACATGTTCTACATATTTTTTTTCAACAAAATGCATAACCTGTCTCTTATTCATGGTTTTGTCATAAAAACCAATTTTTCGTACGAACGCACTCAAAGTCTCTTGGCAGCAGTCAATATTCAAAACACTACGCAACTCTTCATGTAAAGTTTTAATTGTAAAAACAATATTCTTGTGATAGACATCATATATCAACTGTCTCACTATTCCGTGCATGTCAAATAGACTTTTTGAGACCCCACGATCTTTACGCGTTTTTCTTTCCTGGTTTTATGGCTACACTTTCCCCAGATGTCGATTTCACAAACACAAAACACATTTAAAATTATAATTTTGGCAGCAACTGGCAAATGTGTCCTAGTCTTTGATTCATTTGAAGTTGACGGATGTTCATTATCAACGATTATTAGGTTATCGACCGCAATCTCAACTTCTTCGTCGCTGGTGCAACGCAAGTGACTAACAAAATTGAATGATGCTAAGAAATAAATTATAATAAAATGTATATGGTACCGCAATTCCACTGAGTCTTGAAAAACAATTGAAAAACAACAATTGAAATAACTCCAAAGCTTCGACGACTAAGAAAATATTTTTTTATAAAACTGACAGCATGGTAAACTGTTAAAACATCCATTTTAAATCAACTATCTACATAAGATTTATCAAAAGCACATGATATGAATTAATAATCCGCACAGCACATTTCTTGTTGGCTATCTTAAATACTGCCACGTACTAAAAAGAATGGTCGTTTCTGATTTAGATCAGGCGGATCCTAAACTCATTCCGAATTCAAGACCATAGAAAGACATAGAGTAAAAACGGTAAATTGTTAGTCAAACTATAACTTCATATTCGACAAGTCACTCAGCCAGATGTCGATTTAAATTGCTGTTGAACCATCTTAACCGTCAATGGATGACTATATAAAATGTGTAAAGTCCAGAGAAATTGTGCGGAGTTTGATATCTTTATCCAGTTCATTACTTTGAAATCGTTGTTTATGGTTATTTTAGGAATTTAGCTAGGACATATGGATCATTTTTGATTACGTCACTATAAGCGCGTAACTGTTCTCACTGGAGAGCAGGTTCTAAAAACGGTATATCTTTGGGCGAACTATAACCGTCATTGTGTTTTTACACATTTTATTAAATATAATCGAGATAAACGCCACAGTTAATTACTCATGTATTGTTATCATTACTTAAACTTAAATAGTTAGAATACGCCACATCTAGCGTTACTTTTATAAAGACGTTGACTCTGCGATCCGAAAAAGTATCGTGCAAAATTGACGCGTTCACGACACTCGCGGGCTCCGTTTCGCGCCAAGTAAATAACTCAATAACTAGGCAGCTAAAGTGTTCGTATTTGCAGTTCCTTTTCGTGCCGTTTAATCACGGCCGACGTCGTCATTACGCTTAAGAATTATACAAGTTTTAATAATTGGCGTAGTAGTCGGGCGAAACGAATGAAGTTCTCGCATGTCGGCTTGACGTTGAGATCGCGGAACGTTAATCGTAACAGTCAGCGCCGGGGCCATCTTTGTCGAATCGCGAACGATCGAAGAAATCAGCCGCGATTCTTACGGAGTTCTGCAAACGCGGCGATCCGACAGGACGCGAAATATAAAGCGAATTTTTTAACGCGTACACTGGCGCTTTTACGATTCAACAAGGCCTCTGGCGGAAAAAATGATAATCTTCTTGAGCAGCAGAATTTGGAATGATCGCGTTATTTTTATATACATGGATTATGAATTTAGGTTTCAGTTCCAGTTCCAAATCTACACACAGATTGATCTGGTCTAATAATAGCACTATCCTGTTTGCTTTACAAGTAAATACAACGAAGTTTATAAATATTTGGCCTTGTACAACATTTAATTGGCCCTTAATTTCATAGGGAACGCTTTTAAATGTGCTAGTTCGAGGGCACAATGCAAAAACGTCCTTTGAGTTATCGATCTCTGCAGTAGACCAATTAAAATGTTATGCATTTAATAATTCCATCGTAGGATATTGTTCTTGTGCCATTTTGAGCAAACCACGAAAACTGTTAACGCGGCCAGAGAATAATGCTTTGCTTATGCAAGTAGAATGATCCGGTCAAAGGTTCAACAATAACAGGTAAATTATAAAATACTTCCTTAGGCCATGTTTGTTTACTGTCTGTTACATTCTATTGCTTTCAAACTATGAATGGTCAAGAATTAATCGGCGACCCTTTGAAGTGTAAAATTTAAAATTTGGGAAATTTGAAGACTGTGGAAAATTTTAATTTATCATTTCGCAAATAACAATATAATATGAAACCAGATTGACAACATTGCCATCAATACCCGTTGTTGAAAATCCGAATAAGAAGAAGAAGCAAAAACCGAAAGAGAGCAGGTCATTGAGGAAATCTGGGAAAACATTAATGGAGCAAAGGAAAATATTTAACTCCAACAGGAAGAAAGAAAAACAAAAAATAGATGACTGACGACATACTGAAAAAATATTAAAACAAACACCAAGAGGAGTATAAACAAATACATAAAACTATATTGCAAAAGATCAAACAGGTAAAGAAAGCATGGCTAATAGAAAAGTGTGCAGAAATAGAGACCTTGAGATAAAAC